TATCATTGTTTACAGACCTTCTCCCACTTTTATCGGTGGAGGGAGTGGTTGTTACTTTTTTTGCAACATTGTATCACTGATATTGTATATGTTTTTACTGACTTACCTCTTGATACTTTTTAGTGTCCCACTTTCATATAATTAGTTGTGTTCAGCATTGTTTTTTGTATTAACGTTGGGGACATTTGCTCTTATTTCCACTTGTGCATACAGGGCAGGAAGTGAATTATAATCTCTCCAGTAGGACACATACAGGGTATTAACCCTTCCCTACTCTATCCAAACAAAAATAAACAAAAGTGTTTTATAAGCAGTTAATAAACCAAGCCCTTAATAACCTCTGTGGCTACAGGCACTGTGGAGCAATTCAGCCTCAAAATGTACAGCAGAATAACTAAAGTTTCTCAGGTTCTTCTCTCATTAGTTAAGCTTCCTCTGCTTCCCCTTCCAGCAGTGACTTAGCAGCCTTCCACCTTACTAATCTCTCATGTAAACACAGAGCAGGCGCTCTGTAAAAGTGGAGTCAGATGGGCTATGCTGCTTAAAAAATGCTTAAACAACTTTTAGGCTTCTGCTGTGAACTTTGTTGATGAATTGTTTCTGAGTTACAGAGGTCAGTGAGGGCTTGTTTTAATGATTTACTGCCTGTTAAGAGTATGTAAATACTTAAGTGCCTATAGCCTGACCACAAGTCCACTTTTTTGTCACTGCTCTGCAAGATTATACACTTTATTTTATGGAGTCATGCAATCTTTCAAAACTCTTTCTTGTAAGAAACATTTTGGAAATATGACTATTTCAAACAAATGTTTATTGGTTCTGTCAAGTTGCATGCATTATATTAATAATGTCAACACATCTAAGATGTTCACATTTACTGTGTAATGGCTTTTTAAATTCAGAGTTTCTCACATGCTGTGCATCCAATAAGAACTAGAACAATGTTTCTCACTTTATAATGTGCTGTGCTCTGTTAGAACACCAGGGGCCCTATTTAGTGAAAGTCTGCAAAATGTTAAAGCGGTTTGATTTCAGTTTAGCACTCATAAGTACTTATGAAACTGTCATCTGTATGCTAGGTATACATGTACCAGTGACTGGAAAATGCGCATGACCCTGTATGACATCCAGAAACCAGCCTGTTTTTAGATCTGTATTTATTATATTTGAAATGTTGAATGTATATTTCATTTGATGTAGGCATAATGCTTGATAATAGGCAATACCTCTGTTTTAGTTTCACACGGTTCCCATTTTCCTGCCAACTGAGAAAACATTGTATTGGCCATATGAGTCTGACAATCACAATGCTGCTGTGATTGCAGAAAGTAAAACTTATGATGACTTTTTACAGTGTTCTTACCTTCATTCATTACTGGTGAGTGTGACCATGGACAGAATACAATGAAGGTCAGGGGGGTGGATGATAAAATGCAGTAGCTTAGTGGTTAGCACTCCAGCTATGCGGCACTAGGTTCATTGGTTTAAAACCTAACTAATACACTACCCGTGTAGCGTTTGCATGTTCTTCCTGTGCTTTTGTGGGTTTTCTCCAAGTAATATAGTTTCCTTCCATTCACCAAAGAATTGCTGGAAGGTTAATTGGCACCTGTCTAAATTAGCCCTAATATGTGTGTGCATGAAAGTGGAATAGGTACCTTAGATTTTAAGCTGCTTGAGGGCAGGGACTGCTGTAAACTTACAATATATAAAGTACTGCAATTATTGGTGCTATATAAATACTTGTAACAAAAAAACAAAAAACGTATGAGCAGTCAGAACTATGTAATGTACAACATAGCGTATAAAGAGCAGCGTTCAGGCCTATGTATTGCACAATACAATCATATAAAAGTTCAGCTTTCAGAACTGTATAATATACAACATACTGTAGTGTATAGAGTGCAGTGGTCAGCATTCTCTAGAGTATAATGTATATCAGTCTGGACAATGTAACATACAACATGGCATATCAATTAAGTGATCAGGACTATATAACTTACAACAAAGTGTATAGAGTGCATGTGTCATAACTATTTAATATAGAAAATAGCATATAAATTACAGGGATCCTGACTATGTAGCATTAGAAGTACATCACTCAAGACAATTTAACATACAATACAGTGTACAGAGTACAGCAGTCGGTATTATGTAGAATATACAGTGTAGCAGTCAGGACAATTTAGAGACGAACTCCGGGCAGAATAAATCTTAACCCTTGCAGAGGGGCTACCCCCTCACTGCAAGAGTTAAGTGCTCATTTTCATCTAGGGACAAAATTAACAAAGATATACTCACCTAAACCTTAGAGCCGGCTGGCTGATCCTGCCTCGCTCCCCCTCCGATTTGGCGATATAAGATCCTGTGAGTCATTACACTGAATACAGTATATTGGGCATGAGGACATCAAGAGACATTCCATCCGTAGATGAAAATGAGCACTTAACCTTTGAAGTGCAGGGGTTGCCCCACTGCAAGGGTTAAGATTATTTCTGCCCTGAGTTCTTCTTTAATGTACAACATAGCGCATACAGTGCAGCAGTCAGTAAAAGGGACTATGTAACTGCACAGCATAAACAGTGCAATGGTCAGATGTAATTGTCACTGTTGTTTTGGTGGTAAGTCTGCTTCTTTACACTGGTGGTAAGTGCTCACTGCTCCCTCATATATTGGTGGTCAGTTTGCTCTCCTACACTGGTGGTCAGCACACAATGCTCCCTGTTATATTGGTGGTCAGTGCTCATTGTGTTCTTTTATATCCATGGTCAGCGCTCATTGTTTTCTTATACTATGGGGGTCAATGCTCAGTGTGCTCCTTTACACCGGTGTACAGTGTTTTATGTGCCCCCTTACAATGTTGGTCAGTGCTCACCATGCCTGTTAACATTGGTGGTCAGTGCTCAGTGTGCCCCCTTACAATGTTGCTCTGTTAACCCCTTGCATTGGTGCTACATGTGTCCCCTTATATTCATGTTCAGTTGTCCCTTTACATTGGTGCTCATTGTGTTCCCTTACATTGGTGCTCACTGTGTCCCTTACATTGGTGATCAGTGTATCCCCTTATAATGGTGGTTAGTGTGCCCCTTACATTCGTAGTCAGTGTATTCCCTATATTGGTGGTCAGTGTGGCCCTTACTTTGGTAATCAGTGCGCGTTCTTATATTGGTGGTCAATATGCCCCTTACATTGGAAGTCAATGTGTCCCCTTACATTAGTGATCAGTGTGTCAGTGTGTCCCCTTACATTGGTGGTCAACACTCTCTCCCTAGGTGCTCCCTTCTTTGCACGCAATCAGCATCGGTAGTATCCTTTTGAAGGTGGGCAAGTGGGGAACAAGCAGGCAGTCAGACTGATGGGCACATGGTGGCATTAAGTCCCCAGTGTCTGCTGGTTCCTCCTGGCACCAAACATGTGGGCAGTCTTTGAGACAGCAGCACCTCCCATCCTAAAAAAAACCTGGCACAGCAGGCTGCAAACTGTGCACAATGAAAAGTATTTAAATTCAATTGTGGAAAGTTCATAGCCTCAGGCACAAACATCAGATGTGTGGTACATGCTTCACATACCCAGGATCAGCGATACAACTGACCTACCATCTCTGCCATTAAAGCTGTCTGTAAATGTTGTTCTGCCTTTACAGGAATAAGAATGATCTGATATAAACAGCTCTATATTTGGCTAATAAGCCATTGGACTTTTAATCTAGTTATTAGTTTGTACCAGGACTGGCTGCTAGTAAAATGAAATTTCGTTTTACCCTTTTTAGTCCAAAAGTCTGAAAGAGAACCATACCCAAAGTAATAATGGAGACCCTTCTTGGACATCAGCTCAAGAACATGAACAGTCAATTGAAATGGCATAAAAACAGCAGCATCTTAAATAAAACATGACTATTCCTGCTCTAGTGCATCCACTGCGTTAGAGGGAAGTGTATGAAAAGGACAGTACCAAGAATATGAAGTATAGAACACACAGTTGAACTATAAAAAGCTTATTTCTATATTTTAATGGCACAGGATACAGCTCTTACTCGTTTCATGCTTACAAGAGCTTTTTCAAAGAACACTTTGAAAAAGGTGCATGGAAACGTGAAATGTGTGCCCTGTCACAGTCCTTGTGCAGTGAATCCTTCATGTTCTTGGTACTTATCTGCCAGCAAGACAAACCAGACAAGCCCCTGGTCATAGTGGATAGTGGATCCACCTGGAGTGGTTTGCCTATCTGTATTTCTGTATAAAACACCTGACAATTACAGATTCAGGTTTTCAGTTAAAACAATACAATTGGATAAATGTGCCGTTTCCAGCCTTTGTGCAGCATCAAGTCTGACAGCGTTTCTACTTATATTCCATTGTGAAGTGCACACAGTGGCAAAAGCTCATTGGACTGTAATATGGTACTTATTATTGATAATGAACAGTTTTTATAATTTTATGTTATCTGTTCCAGTAGATTCATCTTGAACCCTGAAGCAGTTCCATTATTACCTATAATGTGCTTTCTTTCATGCATTTCCTATGTTCCTCATGTCCAAGGCAAAACCATCTACAGTGTTGGGAATGTGAGAGATAGCAGGAATTTGGACTATGCATCAGCACAATTAACACCAATGTATCTAATTATAATAGTGATTGCTACCGGGTCTATGTAGGAAGTCTTGCTAAATACTAAAAAAAAAGGTTTGTTATGTTATTGTAACCACTGTTAAATTATTGTTTGATTCATATCTTCCCATTAGAGAAGACTCAGTTACAGGCGTTAAAGTGAGCATTGTAAAATCAAGAGGACCTATTTTTGTGCGGTAGTCAGCCCAGTTGTTTTTTAGTCCGCGCGGAAACATAAGCATGAGATATATAGGGATTAATGCAGTTGCAGGCTTTCAGATTATTTGGACTCCCCCATTATACACAATATAGGGTCCACCACACTGCTATCATCTTCATCAAATGAAGATAAGTCTGGGTAAAACAAGACTTATTTTTGTCTTTTCATTGCAGATGGACCCAGTTCAAAAAGCAGTCATAAATCACACATTTGGGGTACCCTTACCGCAACGAAGAAAGCAAATCCCCCCCTGCAATATTTGTCAGCTGAAATTTAATTCTGAAGTAAGTTCTTGACTTTCTAGTCCTCATACACCAAATAGTTGAGTAGATATTGACTCAGCATATTGAGCCATGTTTAAATTCACTGTATACAGGGTAGTCTATCACTGTTTCTGAGACATCATTTTAACATGAATGTCAGATTCAGAGTTAGATTTTGGAATGGATGAAGCAGAGCCTACTGCCACTAGAGAATTCAGTCATTGTACACTTTTCTATGTACTGCCCACACTACAACATTTCCTGGCTGAAAGTCCAACATGTATAGGGACCAAACAATAAAAACTGTGAGGCTTTTTTATGAATAATCAGGAACATCAGCAGCATTCTTAGAATGCCTAAACACATTTCACACTGCAGTTCTTAATGATTACGCAATATGATGTGAAATGCATCAATATCTGCTGCTGATGGCAGTTAATAATTCTTAATAAACCTCTTGGTTCTTGGATTTTACTGTGAAGACCCTTACTTTATTGTACACTATATATATTGTATATATAGTATGCAGTAAGCCTATGTTGTAGGTTTTTCTTGTTCATAACAAATACATGATTTTATCAATTTAAAAAATAATTGGAATCTAGGAAGAACATTTTTTTTACATGCCTGTTAAAGAAAATAAAAATTCTAAAATATATTGGTGTATTTATTAAATTCTAAAAGGGAATTGTAATTACCATGTTTTGGTCCCCACATAAATCCATTACATTCTGCAGCCAAAAGAAGGTCTGATTAGTGGATATCGACAAGGCAGATTACATCCTATAGACAATTTTTTATATCGGGTTTATTGAGGCTAGAAGGTAACTCCTGCATATATCTTTCATGTATACAGTAATTTGGGATATAATTGTAAACAAGTTTAAAAAAACGGTGTTTGTCACCCAAGGGATAGAAGGCATAAGTGAGTTCTGATTAAGTAACCACAATTACTGCTGGTCATGATTCTCATCCACAATGCACTACAATACTAACTCGGTGTAGACCAAATTCCGGTACCTGAGATGATCTTATGCGGTCCTTCATTGCCACAATGCATCAACATTTTTTAAAATGTTCTCTATTATACACTTTTCATTACTTGAACGGTCCACAACATGACAAGGCCAACCTTCAAATGCGATGCTACTGGTTGATTTCTGGTCTGTAATAGATTACATTTAATCTGCATATATGTGACTTGTCTCTGCTACTTGGTAGTTGTCCAGGTTCATGGAAACTCAGAGAAGGAGGAGGAGTTTCTAAAGAAAGCTGCTGATGGGCCTGACTTTTGCTTTTCTTACTCTATATCCAAATACCAAAAATACACAATGTGAAGTAACAAGTAAAACCTATTATGTTAAAAGATAACAGGAAAGCCAAGATTGATTAAGAATTGCGATCTTTACAAAAAAGGAAAATTTAGAAGGAACTGTAAATCTATTGGTAAAGTCTATTGGTAAAGTTCAAAATCCCTTTATATGTTTATTTACAAAAACAGTTAGCATGTGGTTTTCTTTGGTGCGTTTATTCATTTTAAAGGGCTATTCTTCTTTTAATGATAGGTGGAATTAAGTGGGAGAGATGTCAATCTGAGTGGTACTAGTTTATTTTGAATGCATACACAGAGTTAGATATCTTATCAACCCCAGTTTTGGATAGAGTTGGGAATGGTTAGATGCTCTGTCTAGTCTTTATTGCTGTCTATGTTTTTATACGGGGGAATTCTCTTAATTTCTTATCCCAGTAACACACATAGCTGGGAAAGAAAGTAAGGAGAAATCACCACAATAGGGGAATGGTAACAGAAACCTGACAGAAGAAGATGTAGAGCCACACACTGCTTCCAATACCACATGCACAACTTTATTGAACAAGTGGTAGAGTCAATCCACACATTCCTCTCCTCTTTGTAGACAAGGAGGCAAATGGGGAAGGACAAGAATATTTACACACTCTATTCAAAAATAATTTTAAATAATTGTAATAGTTATAAGACCTATGCACAGATCCTGGGTCCTAGCTTTGTCAAAGACTACAATTCTATCTTGGAGGGACATGACCTTCCTCAAGACATCTTACAAGTACATATTTTGGTCATACCAAGGGAAGGGAAAGATCTTACACTTTGTCCAAATTATAACTGATCTCCCTCTTCAATTTGGATCTTAAAATACTTACAAAAATGCTCTGTATGTGCCTTTGCCTTTTCTGCCATTGCTTGGATCAGGTGGAATTTACTCCAAACATGGAGGCCAAGGACAACACTACCAGGGTGATCAATTCCCTCTATCCTGCATACCGCAATGGTATAGCTATGCTTTTTCTCTATCCATGGGTGCTGAAAAGGCCTTTGATATTGTTAATTGATTCTTCTTAAAACTTATTCTCAAACACATAGACCTGGGCATGAACATGCGGAGGTGGATAAATGCCATTTATTGTCCCTTCAGATTGCTTTTCCTTTCAAAATGGAACTATCATCACTGCTTTTTATAATTACCTTGATGCCCTTTCTCTGGCACATTTGTCACAGCAGAGGGTTGTGGCATATTCTGATATACTATTCTTCATTACTAAACCAGAAAATCACCTTCCCTAATATACTAGCAGAGTTGACTAGTTAAAGTCAACTTTCTATTTTTAAAATCAGTTTATAGAAGTTGGTGGCCCTTCACATTTCTTTCCCAAATGCCTGTTTTAACTTTATTAAATCGGCTTTTATCTTTAAATAGGCAGATTTTCACATTACTTACTTGGTAGGTAATATTTCCCTTCATATCAGCCACCTTCTTTCTCCTTCTGTGGACCATAAGAATGGATCTGTAGAAGTGGACTGGGGATACATACACCTGGTGTGGGAGGAAAGCAATGATTACAATAAATAGCCTTCCTTGCTTGCTTTATCTCTTCCATACCCTCCCAATACAGATCACTTGCAATTTCTTGGCAAAGTGAGTAGAGAATTTATAGAATTTTGATGGACCAATATACCACTGAGGATCGACTATAGGTTTCTCTCTTATTCCAAACGACATAGAGGTTTCAGCTTCCCATACCCCACCAATTACTACTAGGTGACCCACTTAGCCAAAATTGTTGATTGATATAGCAAAAAGCCATGGGTGGCCTTAGAACAGGAATACACACAGGTTCCTATGCAATGCCTTCCATGAGCAGCAAAGTCATATACCATATACAGGTGAAACTCAAAAAATTTGAATATCGTGCAAAAGTTCATTTATTTCACTAATGCAACTTAGCCGTCTACCAGGAGATTTTGGAGCACTTCATGCTTTCTTCCGCAGAGGAGCTCTATGGGGATGCTGACTTCATTTTTCAGCAGGATTTGGCACCTGCCCACACTGCCAAAAAATTTCTGAGATTGTGGATCTGGGTTTTCATGAGCTGTAGCCATAATCATCACAATTATGACAAATCACGGCTTGAACTATCTTGCTTTGCATGTAATGAGTCTAGCTCATATATTAGTTTCACCTTTTAAGTTGCATTAGTGAAATAAATGAACTTTTGCACGATATTCTAATTTTTCGAGTTTCACCTGTATCTTCATCAACACCCCACTAAGGAGCTTGCCCTGAAGGTGGCATATGTCAGAGTCCAGTGATGTGCAATTTACATTTTGAGCTAGGTTTACAAGATAAGAAACTCCTATCTCTTATGAAAGAAATAAACAGATTTAAGTATTTCACAATAGACACCAGGATTCACAGCCTTTCTGAATTGCAATCCTTATTTTAAGCCCTCTTACCCAGATGGTTGACCCTACAGCTAAGTCACTTTCTGAATTATATTTTCAAAACATGTGACCCCCTATTGTCCCACACCTTATAAAACCAGGTTTACTGAAGAAGGGATGCTACATTACTCTTGATCGCAAACATATGCACTACTGATTGAATTACTAGCAAAATATATTCCAGCATTTCTGCAGAAATGAGAAAAGGACTTGGGGATTCAGTTTTTCCCAGAACTAAGAGACAGAATTATATACTATGCACTTTGATTCTTTGAACTCTAATAAACGTAAAGAGTCAGGCTATAAAATTGTACATGGTACAGGGTACCAACAGTCCTGCACAAAATCTCCCCACAGACCTCTGAACTCTACTGGCATTTGTAAAACATTTTCTGGTTTTGTAAGATCCTTTGGAATCAGATGCAAGCTAAAACATAAAGACTGACTAACCTGGGAGATGACCAGGTGCATATCTCCTCCATTCAAACAATTTACCCAGAAAAATGTATAAAAATTATTTACTTTCATTTATTAAATGGTGTGAAGGCCTGCATTCTTATACTGTGAAAACAGGACCCACTCCCATCTCTACAGTTATTGCTTATCAAGGTCAATGAGCTTTACCACTTGGAAAATTCAGACACACATGGTTCTATTGGACAGAGTTTAGATACCCTAGGGACTATAAACATCATAGACCATGAGAAAATGCATTGGTACCTTTTTTTGCATATATCTACTGCTAGCAAGCAGTAGAATATATGCAAAAAGTAAAAAAAACGCTTTAACAGTGGTTTAAACTTACCTGTGTCTTCCCCGCGTGCTCCCGACCCGAAAATGTGAAAATTCTCGGGGTGGCCGCAGAGGATCTTGGGGCACTCGCAAGCGCAGTTCACATTTTCAGCCGGGACGCAAAGTAATTGGACGCGTGCACCCGCATGCAGACACTGTGGGACAGGAAGTGCCAGCAAGCCTGCAAGCCCAGAGGAATCAGCGCTGGATCAGACACCAGCCACAGCGCTGGAGAGAAGGCAGCATCAGGAAAGAAGAAGAAGATCGGATTAAGAGACATCATTTAAGGTAAGTGCTTTAATTAACGTTGGGGTGAGGGAAAAAAAAGTTGGCTCTAATGTCACTTTAAAGACACTTTTTCTCAACTGACCGGGTCTTTGCCTTCCCCTCCCCTTGTTTTGTACCCCTTGCTACCCCTTTCCCCTATCCACATGGACTTACTTTTCTTTTTCTTCCTTTTTTCCCCCAT